AAACAATTAAAAAGTTTTAAAAGAAAACATGTGATGACAATTTTGTATTATAAATAATGTTTCAGTAAAAATTTTTTGTTATTTCATTGCATTTATTTACGTATAACTAACTCGTTCAAAAAAGCAATATGAATTTTATGAGAAATTTTTAATTTACGCTTATCTATGTACTATTAAACAACTATATCTTTTCCTAGCCTCACGAGTCTAAATATACCAAAACGTAATTTCATGTTTAGGTGTTTAATTATCATAAATTTTCTTACATTTTTAAGTTAGCAAAATACCATCAGAAAAAGAGCATGGTATTTTTAACAACTCTAAGAACTACACGCATTTAAGTATTAATGGTAAACGCCCCCTTTTTCTCAGCAGCTAACACTCCAAGACGATTTTATCCGTATCCGCGGAAAGCTCTTAATTTTTTACTGTCTAGCAGCCTCCCATAGCTTACGAAACTAATACAGATTATATGTAGATACAATAAATATATATTATATTCACTTTTAACGTGGCACAAGAGCCCAAAAAAAACTTATGATTTTTTACCCGATTTTTTCCGTATACGCTGTTTGCGTAAACGCAAAAAACTCTTAGTTTTCACTGCCTGGCGGCCTTCCATAGGTTTAAAAAAAATATCGATTATAAGTAAATGTAGTAGAAATGTATTTTATTAATTTTCATCTTCGCACAAGAGCTAAAAACATAATCATGATTTTTTTCCCGATTTTGTGCGTATAAGCTTATACGCGTATCCGCGGAAAACTCTTAAAGGTCACTGTTTGGCGGCCTCCCAAAGCTTACAAAACACATGCATATTATAAGAAGATACAAAAGAAATACATTTTATTCATTTTTACCGTAGCACAAAAGCCCAGAAAAAACTTATGATTTCTTACCCAATTTTTTCCGTATACGCTATTACGCGTATCCGCAAAAAAATTTTAGTTTTCAAAGCTTGGTGGCTTTAAACAGTTTGAAAATCCTATAGAGATTATAACTTCATATAATAACAAAGTATTTCACTCATTTGTATCGTGGCACAAGAGCTAAAAAAATTATTATGATTTGTTTCTAATTTCTTTCGTATAAGCTGTTGCGCGTATTCGCGGAAAACTGAATTTTCAAAGCCTGGTGGCCTTCCACGGCTTTGAAGACCTGTAAAGATTAGTAGTAGGTAGAATAGCATAGTATTATATTCACTTTGATTCCTGCACAAGAGCCCAAAAGAAACTTATAATATTTTTTCCAATTTTTCCCTGTACGCTGTTGCGCGTATCCCCGGAGAATTCTTAATTTTCGAGGCCTTGCGGCCTTGCACGGTTTAGATTCTCAGAGAGATTATAACAAGATATAACAACTAAGTATTCCACCCATTTTTATCATGGCACAAGAGATAAAAATATAATTATGATTTTTTTCCCGAGTTTGTGCGTATACGCTCGTACGCGTATCCGCGGAAAACTCTCCATTTTCGAGGTCTGGCTGCCTTCCACGGCTTTAAAAACTCATAGAAGTTGTCTGTACGAAAAGTGTAACAATATCTATTGTTTTCTAACTGAAAAAAGCCATTAAAAAAAAATTTTTAACCTGGGGGTCCCCCAGGCCCGATTCGTCTCTGGTGAGACTACTTTGTCGTGAGGCTAGTTTCAGCTCCATCGGTACATGTCTTCTGGCATAATGGTCCATTGCGAGCCTGTATCCAACTCGGATTGGCACATGACGTCATTGATGCTTACCTCAACCAACACTGGGTCCCATGGATCGATCTTTCGAGACAAAGACTTTTTTCCATGGAGTCAACATTTAAAAGATCGACCTATTGCTGTTCAACAAACTCGACGAGAGCATTGACGTTAGCCGTAGCAGGGGTCTGATCGGGGCATTCGATATCTCGCTTAAGTAAGCAGTTTTTTCGATAATCCCTATGAAATAACCAAAAATGACGACAATGCGCATGCGTAGTTTAGGAATTATCGCCGATAATCGACAAAAATGCTTACTTTTGCGAGATATCGAATGCCCCGATCAGACCCCCTTGTAGCGCAGCAGACTCTGGCCAGATGCCTAACCTTACTGCAGTCGTTGCATTTATATGTCTTGAATTTGTATTTTGCAAAATCGTGGTTCGTGCCACCGCAGTGACTTCACTTGCTGTCATTGCCTGACTTGCCTGAGCTAATCGACAAATTGTTGTTTTTTTTGTCCGTGTCTTCATACGAATTCTGCCTATTCTTCTTGGTTTGCACTTTGTGGACGTTTGATACATCGTTCGGCTGTAGAAGCGCGGCTTCTCTGTCCTTAGTTATTTCCACAATAGCCGAAAGTGCCTTGTTTTCGTCTTCCTCGAAGATTCTGTCAAGGATCTTCCCTTTTCGTAGGCCTGTGACGAATCCGTCCTTTGCCATGTTATCAAGGTGTACACCATACTTGCTCTTGCTAGCCTGATTCTTTACCCGCACGAACCATTGTCCGACAGATTCCGTCTCGCCCTGACCCATTTCGAAAAACTCAGTTCTCTCCCTAAAAATCGCTATACGTTGCGAGAATCGCGCTTTCAATATGGAGCACAACTCTCCATACGTTTTTTGTACCGGGAGAACGGGGTCACACAGATCTTTTAGCACCTGGTATGCTCCCTGGCCGATTAACATGATGAGCACAGCTACCTTTCTATCCTTATGGACACTGTTTGCCATAAAATACCCATCTAGACGCTTTTGATGTAAACACCAATCTTCACCGATTCTGAATTCCGCAAGTCCCAATTGTGTTGAAAAAATGTATGTTTAGTTGCTATACTCCCAGTCCAGTGCTACTGTCGTCTATTTTGGCGCTATACTTCAAAGATAGTTAACAGCAAGCAAATGATGCCGATAACTTTTTTTATAAAACTTAAAATAAGTTAGCTGTAACATGTTCAAATTACAGCTCAATTGGTTGATAAACAAGGGCATACAAAAAAGATCTCAGCTCCTGAGAGTGCTACGGTAATTTATTTCTTTTAAAGAATTGTAGAAAAAAATAGCTTTGTAGCTAAGAAAAAGCGGAAGCCTGCTTTTGAAAAATAAAAAAGTTTAATAGTCTTGTACGTGTATGTGTGTTTCTAGAACAAATCGTCATAAAACCAGTTCTTATTAATTTTCATTTTTTTGAATCCAACTGTATTTAAATAGTTTCTTGAAGTGTTAAGACCAGTAGAATTAAAATCGGACGATCGCAGAAAATTTAGGCATTATGCTATCAAGATCTAAATAAAAATTTGATTGATGGGAACTCGAAAAGTGAAAAAACGATCGTATTAGAATTTTACACTTATTTATGTTAGTAATGACAACATTTTCTAGTAATTTCGAGCTTGAAAACGATTTTGTATTTGATATTTCAAATATTTTTTGCAGAGGAACTAGATTGAGTCAAAATAGGCTAGTGTTTCTTTCTGAGATCTAGGATAAATGTATAGAGTCATATTTATTTACCATTGCGCAATAATTTTTTCTTCTAATTTAAATTTTCTTATTTGTACAGAATTGTGGAAATTTTTAATGTAAACTCAGTTTTCAATGAGTATGACTGAAGTAGTTAACATTTTTAAGTGTGGCTCTTTAAAAAAAGACAGTTTCAAAAAAAGTTTCATATGATTGTTACAAATTTATGTAAAATTTTGGACAACGCTGTGTTTTGTACGTCAAATCTTCTGTCATGACTACATAGGCTGCTCTGTCTATGACCATCAGATGAGATCATAAGTTACTATCACATGCCAATAACTCATCAGAGATCTCAGGTGGAATTTCTTGAAAAGTATATTCCAACTAAAAAAATTAAAAATAAATTTGACAGTTAAAAAGCTGCCCTATTGATGATACATTGGATGGTACATGATTCTATTTGGATGGTACATTGAAAAACACATCTTTAAAAATGTTATGTATCAACATTTGAGAATGAAATAAATTTTTTGAATACTCATGTGAGATCTCTTCCATTATATTCTCTAAAAAAGCACCTAGGATTTCACTTGAGAATTCGAAAATTTTATTTCAAATTAAAAAATTGACATTAGGCACTTTTATAAGGCAGTTTTTCAATATACCTACCATCCCACTGGTTACACCAGCAAGGCAACCTTCAATTCTGTTTAATAAATTTTGAATTTTTTTTTTGAGTTAAAATACCTTTTTAAGACACCTAAGCTGAGATCTCAGATGGATTTTAGGCATGAGATATCCTTCCATATGGTAATAAAACAGGATAACACACGTAAAAAGGTTAACTTGATATTTTGTGTTGTCTTTGAAACCTAAGTATGTGTTAAAATTTGCGAAATTGGCGGGAGTTAGTGTTGCAAAAATTGATTGCTAACTTTATCACAGGCAATCAGATAAATAGACACAAAACGATGGGTAATAATGGCTTGTCAAACGATTAAACTAGTAGTAGCCATTACAATATAAATAATCTAAATGATGCTCTATAAATAGTAATTAACGTCAAATGAAAAAAAAACTAAGAAATTGAATACTTGCTGCAGCTATACGGCATAAGGATGTACAACAACATCTTGACATCAAATGTACTCTAACCAAGTGGCAATCTTAATCTCACATTTTTTTTTCAACTATTACTTAATTTTTAAAAATTTAAAATGCCATGGAATAATTTTTTTAAATTTGCCACCAAATTATATCTTAGTCTTTTTGATTAACATTCAAGCAGAGTTTACCTAACACGAGTTCTGCAAGCTTTAACAGCTTTTTCTAACTTGATACATTTCTTAACAGTATGATGCGTTTGTTGAGATAAAATTGAACAGAAAACTTTCTCAGTTCAACATGAAGTGTTACACTTTTCTTACCGAAAGTTCAGATAACACCTGATAAAATGAAAAATTTAACTAAAATCTTCATTGAGTCCAAACCTAATGGATATACACAGGGTAAAAAAAAACAAAATGTCAAAATGTTTTTTGTAAAACATTCAACAAATAGATAACAAACCTCGTTCCAGATGTTTTATTATGAAATGGATCAAAACGAACAGTTATTTTGGAAAGCGGTTTAAAATTTAGCAGTTTAATCTGTTTAGCTACAGCACTTATTAAACCTTTAGAGCGACTTTTGCATCCATTGAACGGAATGGACATTGTCTCATAAGTCTTGAATAATACTATTCTAGCTGAAAAAGACTACAATATACTTCCAATTTTGTGGTAAAAAAATGTTTATAACCCCTCTGAATGTGCTCTGCAAACTCCGCGAGCAACTTGATAATTTCGACTCGAAAATAATACCCAAAACTGTGAAATTGTTAGAAACGTTTGCAATCGCTTTGTAAAAAACTGTCGGATCAATCACTTTCGCAAAAATACATAAATTTGATGCCGTCCTGCGAGAGGTATGACAAGTATCTTCTCCACCCTTGGTAGAGTGTCTATACTATTAAAATTGGTATCAATCGTTTGCAATTTTTTTATTGTTTATGTTGAACTATTGCAAATTGTCATATTCTTATGTATAGCTAGTAAATGAATTATTTCCGTCAAATGTGCGATTTTTTTCTTTTATTACAATAACACACACTGCTGCGCATGCGCTGTGTATTCAGTTTAGTTCTATTACCGATTACCCAAGTAGAGAAATTGAAAGTGGGCAAAAACTGGGCCCAAGTTGGCGGACACGCCGCCCACCTTGGCCGCAGCTTGGTACCTGACTTGGCCTTCGGTAAGTTTGTAATACGGCGGTGACTTGGGTGCAGCTTGGCCTGACTTGCCATAACTTTCGCCCACTTTCGTCTGCAGATCAGTATAATACGGAGACGTCTATAGTACGCTGTATGCGTGAGCAGGCACACGCAAAATATATATACAGGAGCTATTCACATAGACATTTTTTGCTAATTCCATTGTCAACGTTCATATTGAAAAAGGGGGGTTCCGCTGTTCCGCTAAACTCAAATTGAGTGAACAGACTGAACAGACTTGTGCTGTGTTCTCTGTCAGTCAACATAATTGCGACCATAGGCTTTGTTGCCTGATGGAAAAAGAGGTATAGGTCTGTTCAGTCTTCACTCACTTTGAGTTTAACGGAACAGTGGAACCCCCTTTTCAATATGAACGTTCACAATGAAATAAGCAAAAAATGTCTATGTGAATAGCTCCAAAAACTTGCACCCTTTTATATATCTAACATCAGTGCAGACAAAAGTGGGCGATTACTGGGCGAAAGTCATGCTGAAAAAGACCAAGCTGCTCTTGCTCTTGAGCTTACGCTGATTGGCTGCTGCGCAAACGTATATATAGATATACGGGAGACGCGCGTTGAGCCAAAGTAGGGACTCGAAATCATAGAGATAATATCTCTATGATCGGATGTCAGAAACGTCGGAAATGTTTTATACTTATGAATCCAAAAATCAATGTATTTAACTAATTCATGATTCATGAGACGCCTGAGACCGTGAGAGTGTGAGACCTGAGGGTAGTCAAATTATAACCAGCCGCTGCTTGCACCAAAAAAAAAACCGTTATGGTTTGTAGAGATCAAAAATATTTTTGTTATATTTCATCGTGGTAAAAAATTACATGGTGATTATGCCTGTGCCATGCGATCTTTTTTTATGACCTGCCGCAATTCACACCAATTTCAGACAATTAACAGTAGATGACTGTAATACCAGTTGCAGTAAGATAAGATTGCATCATGAACCACAAAATCAACCTTAAAAAAAAAAAGATATTGTATTTTTATCCAAAATGCTTCATCTATTATCTTCGATGTGTAATATAGTAAAGATAGAATAAGGGGTCTATGTTTTTAACAGTCAATTTTCGGGTGCAAAATGCATTCTACCCGTGCCGCAAATGGCACTTTCAGTTGACAACTTTTTATTTTTCAGCCGTCAATGTAAGTTACGGCTGGTTAATAATGAAGACTATTTGGCACTACTATAATTACCACATAACTCTTAACCAGAATTAAATATAAGCAAAATATTCCGGAAATCTATGAATCAGAAGAGATAGATCTATAATTTGATTGACAATAGATATATCTATAATCAAAGAAGCTAGTAAGCGCTCCAGGTTATATGGGAAATGGCGCTTGTGTTATTATTTTATTTATTATGAATAATTAAAGTGACCAGTAAGCACCCCAAGTTGTGGGGATAGATGCTTCCTTTATTATTTCATTTATTACAAATAATCAAAGCAGCCAGTAAGCGCCCTGAGTTGTGTTGGTATTTGCGTTGCGTTATTAATTTATTAATCATAAATAGTTACAGCAGCTAGTAAGTGCCCTGGGATGTGTCAGGATAAGAAGCCCTGAAAGGGACCAATGCACTTGCGCTAGGTTACCCCCTCCATCGTGCGGATGCTCTTTCTCCACCGAAGCCGTAGCCAAGTCTATATTTATAAGGGGGCGCTTCTGCGCAATACGGCAGTCGGTTCCTAACCACTGCGACGCACGGTCACCATCGGCCAGCTGGACCTACCGGCTAACGATCAGACCTTAGGGTTGTTAATAAAAGTTGCTTTTTAGAATTAGAAGTTTTGAAAGTTTTAAAACTTTTAAAAGTTCTGTTTTGTTTGCTACAATCTATATAGCTATAGCTATGAGGCATAGGGTCTATAGAGTATAGAGGTAATGCGTATTGTGCTCTCCTACTGTAACCAGTGTACCAACCCTTATTCTTTTTTGTCAATCAGTCAATGCCAGGGATCTCAGACGTGATAGAATAACTTGGCGGAAAATTCAAATGGACTATTTGGGGCATGACGCAGAAACCTTGATAACACTTTTATGCATAATAAATTAATAAAATAAACCCAAGCTATGCAACCCAATGACCCGGGGTGACTACTAGCAAATATCTCAAATAATAAATTGTTAAATTTAATAACAAAAGCGCCTTTCACCCAATGACCGGGGCGCTTACTGGCAAATGGATTTAATAATTAATTGCTAAATTTAATAACAAANTGCTTACTGGAAAATCTATTAAATAATAAATTATTAATCAATTATACAATTTTATAAATTTTACAATTTATTAATTAACAAAGTGGCCAGTAAGCGCCTGAGGTCATCAGGTAATAAGCACTTGTGTTTTACAATTTATCATTTAATACATTTGTCAGTAAGCGCCCCGGGTCATTGTGTGAAAGGCATACAGTTTTATAAATTTTACAATTTAATAATTAACAAAGTGGCCAGTAAGCGCCTGATGTCATCAGGTAATAAGCACGTGTGTTTTACAATTTATCATTTAATACATTTGCCAGTAAGCGCCCCGGGTCATTGTATGGAAGGCGCTTTTGTTATTAAATTTAGCAATTAATTATTTAATTCATTTGCCAGCAAGCGCCCTGGGTCATTGGGTGAAACGTGCTTTTGTTATTAAATTTAGCAATTAATTATTAAATCCATTTGCCAGTAAGCGCCCCGGTCATTGGGTGAAAGGCGCTTTTGTTATTAAATTTAACAATTTATTATTTGAGATATTTGCTAGTAGTCACCCCGGGTCATTGGGTTGAATAGCTTGGGTTTATTTTAATAATTTATTATGCATAAAAGTGTTATCTGGATTTCTGCGTCGTGCCCCATTAAGTCCATTTGAATTTTCCGCCAAGTTATTCTATCACTTCTGAGATCCCTGGCATTAACTGAATGACAAAAAAGAATAAGGGTTCGTACACTAGTTACAGTAGGAGAGCACATCACGCATTACCTCTATACTCTATAGACCCTATGCCTTATAGCTGTAGTTATATAGATTGTAGCAAACAAAACAGAACTTTTAAAAGTTTTAAAACTTTCAAAATTTCTAATTCTTAAAAGCAACTTTTATTGACAACCCTGTAGACGGACTCTCACTCCGCGACCAGCGATACTTGGGAGCAATCCGACTAGGGACTTAAGAAAAAAACGACCACGCCACCACGGTCATTTACCAACACGACTTCTCATTCGTCCAGGCCTCTCCGTCCTTTCTGGGAACCTTGCGCATCACGCTGGCGGAATCAGCAGCCACTCAAGATCTCGATACCGAGACCCTTTTCAGATCTCTCCCTACTGAAAAGCATTTTGTAGTTACATTTGTAATTACATTTGTAATTACACTTGTCAAGCCATTTGTAATTCTACTTGGAATTACACATGGGGTTTTAGAATGGAAATTCCAAGTGGAATGCCAAGTGTAATTCCAAGTGGAATTAAAAATAACGATTGGAGATTAATTTTTTTTTCTTTTTGAAATAGTTTATGATATAATCGCGCACAGCGTAATGGCCATTATAGATGTTATTATCCGTATAACAACACCAAAACAGAGCAATTAAAGTATTTTTTCACGAACTTAAAGAAAATAGAAATTTCTATTTTTTTTCAGGTTTTCTCAAAATGAACTGAGTCCCCCTGTTTTGGTGTTACTATACTGATTGACACAACAATTATGGCCATTACGCCGTGTACGATTCTATTTTAAACTATTTTAAAAAGAAAAAAAATTCATCTCTAATTGTTATTTGTAATTCTACTTGAAATAACACTTGGCATTCCAATTGGAATTTCCATTCTAAAACCTTATGTGTAATCCCAAGTGGAATTCCAAGTAGCACAACAAATGGCTTGACAAGTGTTATTACAAATGTAATTACAAAATATTTTTCAGAAGGGCTGGCAGCCATCCAGGATCTCGACGCCGGAACCCAGTTAAGGTTACTCTACTCTGGCACACCGGAGAAAGCCTCCAGAGAGCTTCACGCCGCGACCACCGCGAAGACGCCACGGAAAAAGTAGCGTTTGGAGAAGCAGCGAATCCGGCGTAACACCAGGAGACGACAGAGGAAGCCAGCCGTACGTCCGTGCAGCGTGGTGATCGTTCCACCCACCAACACCCACCTACGGGCACACCCCACCCGGGAGGTCACGGGTTCAAACCGTACCTCCGCGGCGTTGTCCGTCAGTACCGGTGCTCATCTAGGGGAAGACTCCCAAGAATCAGGGGAACCAACAGGGAGGAAGCAGACTCGACCTATACTGTGCCTTCCTCCTGCTCGCCCTCCGTAAGCCGAGACCCCTCGAGGTAGACCCAAATTACCCAGGGTACCGTTGCTCGAACTGAGGGACCCTCAGAGACTCCGTCAAGTAAGATGGAGGCTGCTTGCGAGGCCTCCGGCAGTTCCCCGTGAGACCGTCGCTTGGCCGCAGCCGGCGCTCCTAAATAACAATCGGCCTTTCTCAGGGCCACCAACAAGTTCTACGCACTAGAGGCTACCTTTCGGACCTAACAAAGCCAGGGGACGAGCGTCTGCCAAGGCAGGTGCCACCGGTCAACAGGGAGCACCACTAGGGCAGAACCCTCCCCTTTTGACAAGTGGCGCTCAACGTGGGGCGATATCAGACAGAAGCCGGCCGAACCTCACGACAGAGTTAGCTAAGACAATGCCGCTAGAACGATCACCCGTAGGAACGCGCTCCTGCTCTAACAGCAGCACCCAAGAAAGCCAACTTCTGGGAGTGGATAAACACCCAGTGGCGCTCAAATCATCAAGCACCAATCAGG